CCCCCCCCCCGCTCCGGTCCTTGAGCAGCTGGAGCCTGGTGGCCTGGGGAGGCAGCTAGGGAGTGGGGCCCCTGCCCTGGGAGTGTTGGGGAGGGGTGCAGTGGAGAGCCCCCACCCCCACCCCGGGGCTTTTGGCTCTCATTTGGAAAGTGGATATTGTCCCCAAGTGGGTGCAGGAGTCCCATGCTCAGGAAGCGGCCACTCCTGGGAGCTGGAAGGGATTGTCATTCCTCCCGGGATTAGGTCCCGTGGGCTGCGCTGGGACCTGCCCCGTGTCCGCCTCAACACTGACCCCTTGTAGGGGCCCGCACGCTCTGCTTCCTCTGGTCTTGTCTGATTTCGGGGCCCAGAACGAGATGGTGTTGGTGCCCCTTACTCTTGTTGCGGTGTGGAAACTGAGCCTGGGTCGGGAGGGGAGATGTTCAAGGTCGCCGTGTGCTGCCGGATCGCAGAGAGCTGCTTGCAGACTCAGGCGGGCTGGGCCCCGGCCCCTCACGGGCGTGGGCCGAGGTGGGGGCGGCCAGACGTCTGGTGTGGAGGAAGCGGCTGGGAACGTGTGATAAGACCGTTTTTCCAGGAGAAAGCACGACGGAGAGGGACGACTCCTTCCTGTGCCGAGACTCGTTCTGCGGTTCTGGGTTAAAGATTTATGGTGCCCGGCGTGGAAGGGACAAAGTGCAGCCCAGAAGGGTCCGGGCTCCGTCGGCTGTCCCGAGCAGGGCTGGGAGGGGCTGCTCTGGCACACGCTTCACCCGGTTACCCCTGACCCACTTTAAGGTCTCGGTCCATCCCTTCTTCCTTATGATCAGAATGACCATTTATTGACCGCCTCCGGGCCGGGGCCTTTGGCCTGCGGCCAGCCTGCCCGCTGTCTGCCTGCAGATAGGAGCCTGCAGGCAGATAGGAGCCTGCGGGCAAGGTGCGCGCGGGAGATAGGCCCCTCAGCCCTCTGGACTAGGCCCTCGATGGCCCAGCGGGTGGGAAGGCCGGGCCTCCTGCTTCTCCCAGGGCTGCGCCGGGGCCTCCCCTTCTCCCTGTGACGGCTCCACCATTCCCAGGGGCTTCAGGGGGGATCTGAGAGTCGGGGTCCCGGCCTCTTCTCCCGGGGTGGGTGAGGGGGTTAGTGGAGTGTTCGCCTCTCCTGGACGGGTCAGTCCTAGGAGCTTTCTTCGGGGCCTCTGCCAGGGGCGGTTTCCTCCATCCGAGCATCGGGTGCCGGGAGGCTGGCACTCGGGTTCTCACGCCCTGCCGGGAGACCCTGGCCCTGCCCAGGCCTGTCCAGGGTGCCGTCGTCCTGCTGGGGCGGGCAGGGGTTTGCTAGCTGGGTCCTGCGGGCCGGTGACGTGGTCTCTCTGGTCCTCAGGTAAGGGATGGAGAGGAAGAGCCTGGCTGGCGTCCCCTCCCGTCTGGGCTCCCGCTCTGCGGCGGGTGGGGTGGAGGGGCGCCCGAGGGCCGTCCTGAGCGCTCCGGGGCTGTTTGCCACGAGGCGTCCTGCCCGAGCCCGGCCCTGCCCCGAGCGGACACACGGGAGGGGTGGCTGTTTTTAGATGAAGGTGACTTTACTGCGAACGTGGGCTCTGGTCATGTGGCCGGAGTCGAGTTCTCACGTCTCCAGGGTGGCGGAGGGCCAGGCGCCCGCCCTGCTCCCGGCTCTGGGGGTGGAGGCTCCCTGTAGATTCTGGGGGGTGCTCCCCGAGGTGGGCGGGGCCGAGGGGGCTGGAGGGCGTCGTTCCAAGCCTTTTCCGTTGTCACCCCCGCTGGCCTTGTCCCAGCGGTGTTTCCACATCACAGATATAACGTCACCTGTAGCGGCAGGTGTCTGTGTGGTGATCCCAGTGAGGGCCACCACTGTTGTAATGCCTGAGGCGCCCCTTGGGGACACAGCAGACGCGGCTGCCTGTGCCCAGTCCACAGAGAGGGCGCTGTGGTGGGACGGGCGGGCAGGTGGCCCAGGTGGGGCCTGGCACGGTCCCCTGCAGTGTGTGGCCCTCAGGCCGGGCCGGGGTGTGGGCCTGTGGGTCCTCTGACCCCCGGGGAGGGAGGAGGGGTGGGGGCCCGCCCTGGGGGCGGCTGGGACGGGATCTGCCCCAGCTCCTGTCTGGCAGCCCCAGGTGAGGGCAGCCCCCGGTGAGGGATGGGAGCGCAGTCGCGTCGAGGCGGCCGCTTGGGGAGGAGGCCCCGGCCTCCTTCCTGCCCTGAGTCACTGCCTGCGCCGCTGGTTTTGCTCTCGGGAAATCTTGGCTCCTGAGCAACATGGAGGCAGATCCTCCTGTGAACACGGCGCAGCCACAGAAGCTCCCAGCCTCACGCCCTGGGCCTGTCCTGAGTCCACCCCTGGCCCTGGGGCCCGGGGCCGGCAGCCTGCTGTGCTGTGCTGTGTGCCCTGTGTGTGTGAAGACGTGCACATGTGTGCCGTGTGCATGTGTGCGTGCATGTGCGTGCCCGGGAGCGGCAGAGGAGCCTCCCTGCCCTTCCTGCTGGCTCGCTGGGGTCCTGGGACTCGTGTCTCCGTGTCTTGTTTTTTGTGTTTTTTTTTAAAGATTTTATATATTTGTTTTTCCCCCAAAGCCCCAGTAGATAGTTGGATGTCATAGCTGCACATTCTTCCAGTTGCTGTATGTGGGACGCGGCCTCAGCATGGCCGGAGAAGCAGTGTGTTGGTGCGCGCCCGGGATCCGAACCCGGGCCGCCAGCAGCGGAGCGCGCGCACTCAACCGCTAAGCCACGGGGCCGGCCCCTCCGTGTCCTGTTTTAAAGGAAAGGCTGGCAGGTGGGCAGGGGTGGGGCTGAGGACTGGCCTCCACTGAGCCCTGTCTACACGAGGAGGCCACCCTCCCCCGACTGGACATGCAGGCGGGGAGCGAGGGCTCTCTACAGGCAGTCCAGAAGGGACAGGCTCGGGGCTACAACGCCAGGACCTCAGAGTGCTGTCGTTCTGGAACAAGCCTCTCGGAGAGACTGCTGCTCTTCTGGGTTTGAGGTTCAGTTCCTAACGACTGGCCGGGTCTCAGGGGCCCTGCCCGCCATGAGTCAGGCTGGTGGCCCCTGGCTGTGGGGTGGGGGGGCCTCCTCGTGCTTTCGGGCTGTTTTCACTCCGGATCGGGGGTGTGGGGCATAAGACAGCATTTGCTGTCTGTGGGTCCAGTTTACACTGGTGCTGAGGTGACCAGCCAGGTGGGGTCATGAGCTCTGAGCACTGCCTGGTTCCACGTGTGGGTTGTGTGGTTCACCAGATGTGCCAGCAGAAACCATCGGGTGAGCCGGGAGGATGGGGGGGTCCCAGGGTCCAGGAGGAGGCTGCCTGTGTGCGAGTCGTTCACACAGTCTCGTGTTCCGCTGGTCACCTGAGCCGTGCCAGGGGCTTCTCCCCACAGAGGGGAGGGCCCTGGGTAGCCTCTCAGTGCCGTCCTGGGGGTCATCTGTGCGGTGGCTGTGTGGCGAGTGTGAGGACTATGGGAGTCCTCGACCTTCCAGGACGGGGCGGCTGGACCCCTTGACCCGCCATGCCCATGCTCGAGCACATGTGTGCCACCCCCGGCGGCCTTGCTCTGCGGGGGCAGGCGGGACCTGCAGGACCGTCCAATGGGACTGGGGACCCGGGCAGGGGTAGATTGAAGGAGTTTCTGGTCGGCGCTGGGCTGGACCAGTGGTCCACGTCCTGGTCCTGGTCCGGGGCCCAGGGTGGGCACTAGCTTCTGTCCCCACACCTGAGACCCGGCCACTTAAAACGCTTCCCGACACCGAGTCCCACCCTGTGTCCGCGTGCTCACTTCTCAGACCGAGGCGCGGACTCAGGGGAAAATGACCTTCCAGTGCGATTGTGGACGGTCCAGCAGGGCCGTGCTCCTCTCCCAGGAGGCCCTGGCCGTGGGGGACGCGGGGCTGCTGCAGGTTTGCGGGGGCTGCGGTCTTCCCCGACCCTGGTGACCTCCCTGCCTCCGCCCCCAGAGAGCAGGATCACGACTTCCGTCGCTGAGGTCGGCTCCAAGACCCAGCTCAACTGCACGCTGAACAGCAGCTCCACAGAGGTCACCGGCCACCGCTGGCTGAAGGGCGGCCGGGTGCTGAGGGAGGACGCGCTGTCGGGGCTGAGCACAGTGTACGAGTGAGTGCGGACCCCGCTCACGCTGTCCCGGTGGGGGGCACCGGGCCTCGGCCGTGGCTGCCACTGTGGGCCCCTCCCCGCTGCCCCGCGTGCTGGGACTTTTCCTGCTGACGGCCTCCGAGGTGGGCGAGAACAAAGGCTGTGGTCAGCGGACTCGCTGCGGACAGACGTTGGACGCAAGCTCTGCTCAGACCCTGGGCTGCAGAAGCCGGGGAGGGGGTCAGACGCCGAGGGCCCGGGGGGCTGCTGGACGCCACGGCCTCCAAGACCCTCCCTCCTTCCCGGGGTGCGGGCGGGCGCGGCCTCGAGTCCCGCGTCCCCAGCTCATGAAGGCCTCGGGCGCTCGCAGCCGCCCACTCTGAGGCCTGGTCCTCATTGGGCCGAGCGGGTCCTGGGCACAGAGCCATGTTGTCCTCAGCCCTGAGGGCTGCTAGGAGCCGCGGCTCCACGTGGCCTGGGTCATTGAGGCGGCCAGCCCTCCCCTGTCCCCGTGCCCCCTCGGTGGAGTGGGCGGCGCAGCCCTCCTGCCCCCACGCAGCCAGGGCCTCCTGACCCGACCCCGTCGCCGCCTCGCTCAGCCCCGGTGGCAGCGGTTTGAGCATGGCTTGGACGCGCGCCCCTCACCACACGTCTGCTTGCAGGGTGGACGTGGACGCGGAGGACCGCCCGGGGGACTACTCCTGCCTCTTCCTCCCGGAGCAGCTGGGCAGGGCC